ACATAACCGGCACACCGCCAAAACATGACCAGGACACCATCACAACAGGACCGGGACACCATCAAAACATGACCGGGACACCGTCACAACACGACCGGGACACCATCACAACATGACCGGGACACCATCAAAACAGGACCGGGACACCATCACAACATGACTGGGACACAATCAAAACATGATCGGGACACCATCACAACATGACCGCGCCACCATCACATGACCGGGACACCATCAAAACATGACCGGGACACCATCACAACATGACCGCTACACCATCAAAACATGACTGGGACACCATCAAAACACGACCGGGACACCATCACAACATGACTGGGACACAATCAAAACATGATCGGGACACCATCACAACATGACCGCGCCACCATCACATGATCGGGACACCATCAAAACATGACCGGGACACCGTCACAACACGACCGGGGGACACCATCAAAACATGCCCGGGACACCATCACAACATGACCGGGACACCATCACAACATGACCGGGACACCTTCAAAACATGACCGGGACACCATCACAACATGACCGGGACACCATCAAAACATGACCGGGACACCATCAAAACAGGACCAGGACACCATCACAACATGACTGGGTCACAATCAAAACATGATCGGGACACCATCAAAACATGACCGGGACACCAGCATCACATGACCCGGACGCCATCAAAACATGACCGGGACGCCATCCGCCCACCAGCTCTGACGGTGACCCGACGGCGCCCGTCCGCCTATTAGTTTTGCAAGACCCCATAGCATGGCTATTGGGGAAAAAAGAGGTTCTGAGCCTTGCAACCTTTCTTGAATTCATCTGTTTGTCCAACCTTGATATTGGTTCCTTCTGCAAACCCCCCGCTCTCCTCTCAAAACCGACTTCCAAATGGCCTCTCCAACCCCCACACGATGTCTCAGAGCTGAAGCATCTTCGAAGAAGGCCTCACCCGGAGTCTAAGAATTGGGAACAACCGCAGAAAAACCGACTGGTTTGGATTCTGAAGGATTCCACTGAAAGATTCTAAACATTGGTTCTTTTCAGCGGCCAAAATCTGTAGGATGCAAAAAGAACCTGAAGATCCCGTGGTGTTTGGTGTTGTTTTTTAGAGGCGGGGTGCCTCTAGGAGATTCACTCATGCCTGCATGGGTGAAACAAAAAATACCACCCCAAAACTCTATGGAACTGTCCTGTTCGTCTTTTCTTTTTTGAGCGCTGCGAATGTTCGTGGATCTGTTGCTGGGAGTGTGGGGAATCTTCAGGGAATTGGCTATAGTGGACTCATATACCTTAAGGATCCTTGAGGTATATCTTTTAATAAGGATGATGCTTTTTTGTGGACTATATGGTGGGTATCACTCGTGTTTGCCAATTGGGTTGTTCATGAAAATGACCAATACAGCTTCATCCCCACCCAATGCTGTGCAACAAAGGGACGCGTGCCTTCTTGCGGCCCGCAATCCTAATCCTATGCACACCGATGTCTATCACATTGAACATAGCTCCACAATCTAATTAGCATTATTTGTATAAAAACTGTATATTAATATATTGTATATATCATACAACTATATCAATATATATATCTTTCTTGCAGCTAAGATTTTGCCCCCCACCCACTGACCCCGTTCCAGGCACAATGATCATTCTACTTTTCAGCCACTGACCATCTGCATCGTCAACACCTTCAGCATCCGTCCAAACCCGAAAAAACCTGTCCAAAACGCTCCCCAAACGCCTCGTGAAAGGTCGCCACATCCCAGCCGCAGCTCCTCAGCAGCAAGCTGCCCTCGTCCTGGGAGATGCCTCGACTCGGGTCGACGGTTCGAAGACCGGTGGCAGTGGACAAAAAGTCGTGGCGACCGGGAGACCGGGAGACCGGACCTGAAGAAACTACGGTCCATATGCATCTGAACGTGAGGGGTGTTTGACCGGTGATCGACCAGAAGGTTGAACGAGAGGTTGGTGGTATCATCTAGAATCCTGCTTTTAAAAGCAGGATAAAAACTCACCATCTGAGTGTTGCAGTCAGCAGTCGTCCGCATCCAACTCTTGATCGATGCTGAGGAGACAAAGCTGTGGGGCGCTCGAAGAAGGCCCAAACCCTAATCTAGAACAAACAGTAAGAGAAACCATGAGAAACCTATACAGCTGCCCTAGCCCGGGCCAGCATGTGAGTCCGGGAAGTTCAACAAAAACGTCAACCCTCAGTAATAGGTGAAGGCATGTGAAAGCTATATTTATTAATCCGTATACCAGTGTACCAATGAAACCTGGTCCTTGACCTCATGGACCACTGTTTTTGCATGACACCCAGTGAAATGAGCTCCTTCACCGATTTCAGGACTCGGTTTCTGGTACTTTCATTACCGGTCCGCGCAGGGCGCGCGCGCGCCGCTAGCGGCGCGGCCTGTGCACTCACAGGCTTCAGCCACGAGCCGTTGCCGTTCGAGCTCCAAGGCGTTGGGTGTCTCGAAGAGGTACCAAGCTCCTGACACCCAATTGGCCAAGAACCAGAGGCTTCGTTGGACAGAATGTTGGTTGCTGAGGCTGGCCTCGTTGGTGGCTGTGGCGATTGCCACGCTTTCAAACGGCCACGTTTTTGGGCGATTGAGGCGTGGCTGTTTGTATGGCTGGTGCTTGGTGTCATGTATGGGAAACCAACACCGATGCCAAGACGATGCTTGCAGAAAGCGCTTTTTGCAGAAAGCTACAGCGTGATTACACGTGTCGTCGGCTTGCGGCGGCGGCTTCGGCGTGTCGCACCCGACGGACCGAACCGAAGCGTGACGCAGCGAGTACGGGCGAACGGGGACGGGGACGGACGAAGTACATCTGAGGGGCTGTTTGGCTGGCGGGTTTGCATGCGGTCCGAATCCAAGTTTCAAGTGATTCATATTATTTGATTCATACCTTTTGGGGGGGGCCTTCCCAAAAACGAAGGCGATGTGGATCTTGGAGACAACACCTTGCAGATCTCAGCATCGCTTGAGCCAATCTGTGGCACTGGAGTTGGACATTCTGTCAACAACAGGCTGTATCCACTAAACACCTTAGCCTTTGTCATACATCCTTGGTCTGAAGCATGCTCCCAAGCTTCCAAGCAGGATTAGGAAAGTCATGACTAAGTCATGCCTGTATGTAAGCTAAATGTGTTTATAGAACTGTACACGCGTGTATAAAGCATGTATTTGTTGAACTCTTCTGTGCCGTCGTTGCACTTTCTCCAGGAGAGTCTTCTTTTGTTTGGCAGGTGTCCGTAGTGTAGACATCCTGCAAGTGTCCGTTGTCTATATAGTTCTGCCATCACCAGTTGTGAATGTTGTAGCCTTCTATAGCTTTCCTATATGATGTGGAGATCCAAGTACCTTGTCAAAAGGTGATTGGATGCTATTAATGCAGGCCCAAGTAGGGCCCAAGTACCTTATGAAGGTATATGTGGATCCCTAGGGATATATATGGTGTCTTTCTCAAGAACGGCAAGACCATCTTCCCCGTCACCGAGCAGCTCCTCGTTCTTCCACCACCTTGTCCTCCTGCGCATTGGGGCTGTGCAAAACTGCCCCTCGACGGATGACGGAGAGTCGCAGTCCATCGATTTTGGGCCAAGCCTGGTGTGCACCTCTGCGTGCGCAGGGAGGATCCACCCTCTGTCCGACTCATGAAAACGAAACCATGAAAAGATTTCGACTGACCGAAAACGAGACCTGGTGTTGTACAAACTTCTCAAAACGATGGTTGTTGCGTTTCCCAAAACCAACCAATGGTTGGCGAATCCTAGGGTCGATCTGTCGAACTGATGCCACATGTGACCCCTTAAGCCTCTTTCTTTCGCTCCCGCTAAGAAAGAGGCTTAACAAACGTCAGAAAAACCATCCCGGTCCGGTACGTGCTCAACACACATTCTTGACCCCTGAAATGGCCCCGGAAACAAGGGGAGACTGAACACCGAGTCTCAAAGGCTTCCTCGCTCGAGTGATGGGAGATGGCTCTGTCTGACAGGGAGTCTGAACCGTTCCGATCCAACAATGCAGATTCACAGGGAAAACTATATATACGAACTTAGGGTCTTTTCGATTTACGATGCTTGAAGTGTTCAGCAAAAGGACCATTCCACACAAAAAAATGATCAAAAGGAACGTCACACAAAATTCCAAAGGGCCATTCCACGTCTTATGCGATCAGGACTCCTTTCTTTCTTGACCTTCGTTCTGTTTGTCGGTTCGCATCCACCGCGAGAATGACAAATAACGGCCATTGGAATCTGGCCGAGTCCAGCTACCAACAGAGGTTGAAAGACCCTAGTTCGGCTATCCCAGTTCGGTACCCCTGTAGTGTCCCATTTACGGTCACTGGCTACCTCTGGAACGACTTCAGCTGGCCAAGGGAAGTCCATTCGTTCGCCTCTTCAACACACTCCCTGGAACGAACGACGTCCACGTGGCAGGGAAAAGCGATGTCTCCAAGAGAGGCCAAACAAGGGCGCCTTGTCCACGCGCGCCGGTTTAACCGAACTGATAGGATCTCCATAGATCTCCGAACTGGAAGTCTATAGGTCCATCCCATAATCCCCGATGTGTCAAGCAGTCATGGCGAGGTGCGATGTAGGCCGAAAGCGCGAGCAGGCCTGGCCTCCTCCCAGTCCAGCTCATCATCCTCAAAGGAATACCTTAAAGACCACGGTCGAACCGGGTGCGTTTCGCACGTCCGAACCGGGTGCCGGGTGTGCCCCGGAAGACCTCCCAGGCGTTCCGACCCAGAAAGAACACTCTACCCAGCGGCCGGCTTCATCACTTACACCAAAGCTCAGAGTTCTGCGTTCGAATCTATTGGGATTGGAGAGTATAAAGGGTGCATGCTGGCGCAAGAGCTTTCTGCAACTTCTCGGCCAGGTGGTGGATCCAGCGATCCTCTCAAAGAGGCAAACCAACGACTTGGTGCTTCCACGACTCGCAGCACCCACTTTGCATCAAAAGGCCCAACGACTCGCGATGTTCGTCACTGTTGATGCTATTTCACCCTCCGGGAATCGATGGAAAAATTGAACAGGTATTCAAACATGGGAGGGACTTATAACTGATTACTTTCGGAACTTCTCCGGGCATGTGGCGAAATCTCGACCTGATCCAATCTCAGACATTCATGGCGCGAATTGCTCTCACTCAGCATACTCAACCTGAATCCCACCACCCCACCAAACCACCAGTGGTGAACCCCACCTCCGGTGACTCCACTCACTCGACCAGCTTTGACTCGCCGACCGAGGCCGTGACTGGCTCTGCTCCGTTTGAGCACTGCGTGCTCGATGCAGCTCCGGAGGCGTCATGAAGAAGTCCGCGCGAGGAATAACATCAAAACAATTAATGTCATAATGTGACTAGTAGTAAGTGACTAGTAACAATGCTAGTAGCATAGTAATGTTCAATGAATGGTACTGTAGTATAGTAATGCCCTTCTTACAAACGTAGCGATGCACTTCTTACTAGGAGGAGAGTCCGTGTACAGTCGTTTTTAGTCGAAGTGTTTGTCGTTGGGCGATTCGCGGAAATTCCAACGTTCTCATCGTGGGTCGTCTTTGTACCATGTTTTACCTGTTGCCCAGGTGTTGTTCTGGCCATCCGGGCTGGACATGTGTGTATTTGAAAAGATAGAGACTCTGAGTTTCGGAGAGTGGGGGAAATTGATTGCAAGAAGTTTTCTAAGCTCATATCATAGCAGTATAACAGTTCAAATTCTATTCATACAAAAACATAACAGTCTAAAAAGTAATGCTTAATATTGTTGAGTGCTTTATTTTCTCAACAACATCAAAACAAAATTACCTCATTCAATTGTCAAAAATCATAGCAGTCAAAACATAGTTACCTCATTCATTTTTAAAATCATACCTCATCCATGTTCGAAATCATAGCAGTCAAAACATATATAGTTATCTAGTCCATTTCACTAAAATCATAACAGTCAAAAATATCAGTACTAACTATATCATCATCTCATTCATTTCCCAAAACCATCACTACCCACAATCTCACAACCTCATCCATTTCATCAAAAAATAACAGTAAATATATCACACACCTCATCCATTCCATACCCAAAACAAAACAACCAAAACAAAACAAGAAAACAAAAAGCGCCCCCAAACAAGTAAAGCACAATATATAAATATAACGACAGACAACAATAAAGATAAACCCTTCGCTACATCAGGAGCGGAAGGCTCCTTCTCCAAAGCTGCCTTGAACTTTGTCTGCCAGTGCTGAAAGGTCAAACTATCAAAAGCAGAATGATAAACTTGCAAGTACTTGGACGGCTGCTGCTGGCAAAGATATTGCGCTAACGTAGACTTGCCGCTAGCCACACCAGCATGTAGAAAATACAACCCTCTCCTCTTGCAACAAAGCTTTAAGCTTTCGAATCGTTTCGTCCAAAGAGATGAACACATTCTTGTCAAAGTGTGCGGGTTTGACAACGACAGCACAAGAATGTGTTCATCCAAAGCAGAAACTAAAAAAGCAACAATGAAACACAATGAAACCCTTCTAATTTTTCCTTCTAATAAGCTTGTGTGTTTCTCTGCTTTTGGAATTTGGCACATGGCCCACCCAGCGCTTCCACCCATCGCTCCACAAGGTCTGCTTTTGGCCCTGACACGTTCAAGCCCTTCTCACGCAGCTTTGTCTTTTTTTCTGGCACCATCAACTTTTTAAGGCTTGCTCTAGTAGCTTCTCTGCCGCCTCGTACTGCTAGAGTTTGCGAGCCGTTGATGGGCAGGTGCAAGAAGCACAGCACAACAATCGCAATAGCAAATAACACGTTGGCAAGCCATGGCTTCGAAAAGGAATGTTCCTACCCTTAAACTTTTCTAGGACAGAGGTGACGAAAACATGGTTGACACTCAATGTATCAACTTTCACGAGCTTGAAAGGGAGGTGCAATGTAAGCAAGCATGACAAAGAGCAAATTTTACTATCCTGTTTGAAACAAGAGGAGGTTGATGTATTCAAAATTGGGTTTAAGGTCGTTGGGGAAAGCGCCGATGGTGGTAAAACCATAATAAGGACAGTTGGCTTGGTCAGAAGCATCACCTCGCCGCAGAAATTAGGAAAACTGCCTCTGTTGTGCAGAAAGGCTATATGGATAAAACCTGGTTCCATCTTTAAGAAATGCGCCACCGATTATGAGGAAATCCGTGACCGACTTTGGGAATATCTGCCACCGACTTTGGGGAAATCCGTCACCATGTTTAGAAAATCCCACAAACTGTGGGAAAAATCTGCCACAGACTTTGGAAAAATCTGCCACCGATTTTGTCAAGCTCCGTTTTCTGGAAAAATAATCTCCGTTTTTGGATAAAACAGGCTCCATTTGGAAAAAACTGGAACTGGCTCGGTTTTAGGGAAAGACTGGCTCGGTCTTTGGGAAAAACTGGCTCCATTTTTTTGGAGAAACTCGGGACAAATTCGCTCGGTTTTTGGATTGGCTTGGGACAAAGCTCAAGTTTTGAACGCTAAGCATGTTTGGGTTTGGACTTTTTGAGGTTTTAGGACTGGGTGTCACTAAAGATAGGTCAAGCGGTAGCCAGTTGGAAGGGTGAACCTCTGATGCCTGTAAAGTTTGTTGAAACTGTTTTGGGGTTTGATTAGGGACTTCTATGAGATGTCACAAGGACAAACTCAAAAGTACCAAGGTTCCGGATTGGACTTTAAATTTAAAACAACTTAAACAAACAGTAAGATATATATATTATAATATTATAGGATGAACATTGATTAACGACCTTTGCAGTATGCCTTGTTGTAAGGCTGCAGCGGCCAGCCGCGTTTCGCTCCGTCACATCGGATCGCGTTCGGCTCAGCTGCCTACACCGTAGGGGTGTCTAGCCAGGCCCCAAACAGCTGTGATGCGTTTGGGGTGTCCATGTCTACCACCCCACTCGTCCGGGTGGAAGATGTCACATGTCACATCTCCTCAAAAAGGGCCGGCGGCCTAGGCTACAGGCATGATGGGCCTGGTCGAGTGACCTAGTAACAACAAGTCGGTCGAGTTGGATCGATTTTAAACGACATGGACTCTCACACTTCGAAAGTGTTCGGATGTCGTCTGATTTGTGGATCCGTATTGGTGAGGAACGGAATATAGCTGCGCAATGACATCATGTACATTGCATCTGCTGCAGCCGCTTCAGGTGTGATACTCTGTTCCTTCGCCTTGCACGACCCACACCTCTCTCATTGGCTAAACAGGTCAAGACCCTGTGTGAGCATTCCAAACATGAACAGGTTTCATGGATTTGAGATGGTTCGGTGTGCACAGTTATTTCACCCACCACCATCTATATGTCCTGCAGCTGCCAGCTTCTCCACTCGCTACTTTTCACCCACAAATGCTGGGTGTGTCGTTCGAGTCCATTCAGAAATGGGGTGCCTCCGTCAACCACGATGGGTCCCAGTGGGGCGGCGGGACGCACGGTCTCTGTGGTCGGACCATCATCTATGCCCAGCGACGGAAAGGATCGACGGAGCTACAGAGCTATGGAAAAAAACGGAAAGGATCTTTCGTGAATGGTCAGTCTCGGAAGGCGCAACAAACATCAAGCAACTCCACCAATCCAAACGAACTCCTTTTCACTGACGCGTCTGAATCGACGGCAGCACTCACAAAATCGGTTTAAGTGGAAGTGAAACGGCGAGAAGAAGGTGCGTCTCATGGTGCTACGAAAGTAAACTCACGACTCTTCATCCATTCCCAGAAAATAGATGAACATGTTCTGCCAAGGTACGTCTCATGTTTGTTTCGATTCAGTTTCCAACTGGATCCTTTCTGTGCTACTTCCTCTCAAGCCCTCTCAGGTCATCTGTCCGGGTGGACGTCCACCCCTTGAAGGCAAGGCCATAAGGCGCGCGGCATTCAGAAGAAGCGATGGTAAAGATTTTGGAAGCTGGACCTCAGGTTTTGCTGTGGCATTGGTCCAGAACCCCCACCGATTCCCGCTGAGCCGAGCTCGATCGCTGCTCTCCAGCTCAGTCTAAGTCCTGTGAGGTTCAACTCATCGATCTGTGAGCAGCCCTATGCACAGATCGACTTATCGCCAGTGAGTGGAGTGAGTGAAAAGGGTGGTGACCATGGACACCCCTTTGTTTCATCCTTTTTCCATCCAACCCCTTCTGGAGTAGCTTGGACGGGCCTCCAGTTCTAAAGACCCACGAGGCCAGGAGTAGCTCGGGCGTCAGTTCGCTTAACATGCATTGGATGGTGCGCTGCAAAATGGCGCGCGAAAAAGGAGGGCGAAGAGTGAGTGAGATCTTCACAATCCTGTACGGGCTCCAGTCGTATTCTAAGAAGGTGTTGGGGGTGGGTTCCAGGAGGGTCCCAAATACCGAGGAAGTAACCTCCTGGAGCCCTATAGGGAATCACCATGAATCACCCAACATTGGGCTCTCAACGATCTTCACAGGCCCACCACTCGACCGGTTGTTCACCCATGTCATGTTCACCCCTCGCTTAGACGGTTGACTGAGATTCCAACAACCAAGGATTCGAGCCTCCCTCCAGCACGTTGCGCAGCGACTGCAGGCCGCGACGTGCGGTGCTGCGTCGTGCGTTGGTTCGCGTGAGGGGAGGAGGAAACTCTGTTGACACTCGGGTGAATCCACCCTGAGACGTTGTGTTTCGAAAACTGCAACTTGGGGGTGTCCACTAGTAGCAAAGGGCATAGCTACTAGGAGCAAGGACGCTACTAGGAAGTGAAACCGCAGCAATTTGGTCGACAGTCAACTTTGGGACCCATCACCGATACCTGCCCCAGGCGGCCGCGCGCAACGGCTGACCGGATGGTGGTGATGATCAAGCGCGAGGCTGACCGTCGGAGTCTTCCAAATAGGCCAAGAACCCCCAGAAGGTGTCCGAAACATCTCCCGCAACCCGCGCTTCCGGACGTGGCCCTGCCTGCGGAAAGCTGTTGTAGGACCTGTGATGCGATGTGGCGATGCACAGTGTGTCAAAAAGATTGCCAGAAAATGCTCTTCTCAACGAGATTGATCCAAATGGGAACCTTTTAGGGGAAGGTCAAAACGCGGATGCTGCGGTTGCCGGAACTGTCCAACCGGTGAAAAAGAAAGAACTCGATCTATTTGGTCGATGAACCTGGGAATCCCAAAGCCCTCAGATCGCTTCAGTCCGGTTTTCCCAAGGATTTCCCAGGGACTCCTGTTGGCGCACCTGGAGTGCTTCCTCAAGGCATGCATCAGCAGGGCCAAAGCCTGGCAGAAATGGGAGAAACATCGATGAGCGAAGCGAAGCTATATCCGCAGCTACTTAACCAGCTATATGAGCTATACATGTAGGTTGGTGACGGTTAGTGTGATGTTTTGTTGCATGGTTTATGCATTGATTCTCGTGAAATGTTATGATCAGCTACACTCCTGCTACAATGAATCATTGCATGGTCACGTGCTTTAGGCTTCTATAGGATGCGGTATCACCGAACGTGTTGATCCTTTTCGGGGGTCGCACGTGTCCACCACAGACTGTGTCTGACCCGCTCAGTATCCCTGGTTAACCTGTTGGATTTCAATGGAGAAAATGCTTCCAAAAAAGTTCAAGGATGCTGAAGGTCATCCACTGACTGGGTAGGGTGTTCTTCCCAAGAGCTTGGGGAACGGGAAGATTCGCTCCGAGTTGCATGTTGCCGAATGGGGAGCTGTTCACTGCCATATCTTCGACCCGAACTCGTCAAGCCCTCACGAGCCAGAAGAACTCTTCCCAAGCCGTAGGGCTACAAGTACGACAGTGTCGAACACATCACCGGACAGTGTCGTAGCTTCGGCTGGATGATCTGGGTGGCATCACCGGCATCCCGCTGGTGTTGCTGCCCATGACGGTTCAGATAAAAGCTGAGCTCTTGACCGTGCCTCGCCTCTAGCAAGTTCCGGTTGCCCGGGCGAAGCTTCCACGCCCTGAGCAGCGGAAAAAAAACCCACACGAAGCTTCGAGTGGTGGCGAGAGGGCGCGCCGGATCACTTGGCGGATCCTGACGACCCAAAAGTCTTCGAACAATTACCTTTTTGAAGCCTGAATGTTGCCTGATTGCCTGGAAGTCCAGACGTGGAACCCTCAAAATAACCTCCAAAAAGGATCTATTCCTCAGAAAATTATCCCTACGTGGGAGCTCCAAAAACCATCAAAAACCTGGGTGCCCTTGAGGCTTCTGCAGCTTCAATGGCCCGAAGCAGGCCGACCTCCTTGAAATCCCGCGCGCACCGGCCTGTGAACGACAGTCTACTATACAAAAATTCCAGGCCGCCGCGGCATTCAAGGCGAAACCCATGTTCCCCAAGTGCTTGGCCAAGCAGCTTTTGCAGCACGACCACCTCGTAGTGGGGCACTGGCTTGGGCGTCAGCGTCTGCGCAGAGAGCTTCGGTGCTTGAAGATGAATTCACCCGAAGAGCTGGGAGTAAAACGGATCATATGGGAATTCATCTTCAGGGAGACCTCCAAGTTCGACCCCCTGTTCGGATGGAAACTAGTCCAAGTTCAACGCTTTTTTCCCCTATTGAACATACACCACCCAGGGACCACCCATATCTATCTAGATAGCTCCTGGATGCTCCTGGGCCACCCTTGGGTCTTGCACACTTGCTGACGATCAAGCACATCCAACTCCAAGCACATCCACTGACTCCTTTGTGAAACATGACCCTCGATCGTCAAAAGAACACATCGTTTGAGACACCCCTAACAGCATCGGGACTGTTTGCATGTTGTTTCACCGTAATTGTTGATCTATCAACAATCGTGCTGAATGTCCGACACCTGCACTTAGGAGCAATTTCTTGTCAAAGAATGGCACGTCCACTGTGTGAAAATGCTGGCCGGGCACACGCAAAAGGGTGGTGCAGGTTGATGTTTGTTGTAGTGAAACAGCGATTTTCGCAGGACACGGATGCTCGAAATGGTATTCTATTTTCCCACACCAGCGCTTGACTAGTGACTAGCACCTTCTCGATGATGAACTGGTGGACCATGAACAAACTTCAGACCTAAACACTCGGGACTGGAATATGCCACCATATGCCACCCCATTCACCCCAATATCAACCACCCCCACTGATCGCCAACATATGAATTTCTGAATTGCAGTGTTTGGGTGAGGGTTTGCTTCGTTCTCCGAAGGTCAGCAGCCGAAAAAGGCCAGTCGCACCTGTTTTCTGAGCAGCTACAACGTCACCAGTCTCCCGTCTCCTCCACACACTGGGGGGGGGGGGTCCCTCGCCCAATGGGCTCGCCGGTCTCTTCATTCCTCTTCCAGAGGTCTTTGGGATAAGAAGCGCTTCCGAGCAGCTCATCACATAGCAACTGCGTAGCAGGAAACGCGGATTGTCAAGTGGTGAACGTTCTCTTCTTTTGTGCGACAGGTGCCTTTCACCCAAAAGCACGTAGCGCAACAGCAGACTCCACCTCAAATCAGTTGCAATGGTTCTTGGGGTTCTGGTGATGTTGTGCTGTCAACCATGTTGACGATTTTCAGGTCAGATCGTGCCAAACTAGCTCCCAAAAAACTCTCACTGTTCTTCCTCGCCCCACTCGCTTCTTCAGGCGGCCGTCCGGCACTCGCGCGCCATGGCGCGTAAGTAGCCGGTACTCGCGCCTGGTCGGTGGTCTGTCGAAGGAAGGCCGTGGGCGCCTGCCCCAGGTGTTTCGCCTGGGACGGAGACGACCGTCTCCGACGGTCGCACGGCGCGACGGGCGCGCGTAGTGTGCACGCCGAACTAAGCCGCTTAGCACTGACACGAAGAAAATCATCATGGTTTTTAGTGGAGTGAGTGAGTTCACCACCTGTTTGGTCTTCGGAAAACTCATGGCCATGCCGCGCAGTGCCCCTCATCCTTGGATCTTTGAACGACTGAAGATCGGTTTGTTCATGTCTGCATCCATAGAACCAGCCAAGTTCGGCAGAACTCCTTGCCGAGTTGGAGGATCCACGTCACAGATCCACTTTACTACGGCCGTCCACCCTCCACACCCCCAGACTTGCGCTGGCAACAAACACGCGCGCAAGTCTAGTGGCCCTTTTTCTTTGTGCCGCTGCTGATGTCCCGTGCAAAGATGGTCCGGAAAAGGGGGACGGGAGAGGAGCTGGGACTGTAAAATGTTCTCAAATTTGGAGGGATTGAATGGTTGGTTCATTGAGCTCCTGCGACAAGGGCTGATCTTGGCTGATTGATGTCCCTTCTGTGTCGTTGACGATGTGTCCTGTTCTGGCAAAGTCTGCCTTTGGTGATCGGATCGTTTCTTGAGAAAAGCACCAGCAACTCTGCAACTCTGGCATCACTTTCTTAGCATCACCAACCAGCGAGAACCTGTCACCACTCATTCGAGGCAGCGGTCACTGGCACCCGCTCGGGGTTCATGATGCAGTCGGTGCCTGAGCTAGTTCGTGATGGTGGCGGAGCAAGTCAATAGCCTGTGATTCCATAATGTCACAATGACAGGAATAATACAAGAATATAAGACACAAGCTATCGTGCACATCAGGAATATGTGCATACCGCATACAAGACATTCGATATACAGGAATAAATGCAGCCGTAAATCCATCATATAAGCCCAGAATAACTGGCATGTGAGAAGTACCTAGCCTCCTGACGTGTTCCCATGTCTTTGCAAAATCCTCGACTGTGTCGAACATGATGCAACCATCATCCCAAGACATCAGCATTGTCCGTGTCCCGTTCAACAGAGGCATCTGCAGCTGAGATTACCTACACAGGGCACTTACAATCTCAGCATTCCATGTTTGACCTTCCCCGTTTCATCGCTTCAACATGAGTGAACTCAGTGTTGTTTTCGAAGGTAGGTATGTACGTCCAATATCATCAATTGTCCTAACATCACACTCGATAACGAAAATACAACATCCGTGTGGACTCCTTTTACCATATATTATCCCAGCCCAATAGTCTTAAACCACCTCTTGTTAGGTGTAACATGGATCATGTTCCATTCCAAAAAGGGAATCATAATCCCATCCAAACCTCCCCTCTCCTCACCGGCTTGTCTTCCCTCTCGGGATATCGATCCAAACCTCTCTCAGCTTCGGTCGTTCCCGGCCTGGGAGCAAGTGTGGCGCCACGAAGGTGTCGCCAAAGCCCTCGGGGAGCACATCAAAGAAGACCACGCAGCGCATCCTCGGCCGTTCAGGTCCCTCTTTGATGCTCGAGAGTAAACAATACGACTCTGAAAAGTTGGGTTGTGTCAGGCGGTGGGTGATGATTTGGGAGGTTCTGCAAGAGGTTGGCTTGGGAGGTCCACGTGCTATATGTAGGTCAGACATCCCCCATGAGAATCACATGAAGGGGCAGTCCTGCTCATTCTTTAGTGATTTCCTGGGGAATGATGAATGTCAGCCCCCTAGGAAATGAGGAACGCAGCCTCATGAGGCAATGTTTGGCATTCTCTAGTGAAAAAAAATATCACTAGAGAATTGCCAGAATTTTCAAGCGCAGCCTTTTCGCCCGTGTTTGGCGCATCTTCGGTTTGGTCCGGCGTTTTCAATTTTCTAGCACATCCTGCTTCTACGTGCTGTGAGGAGTCCCAACAGCAAACAAAAAGCATACAACAGCTAAGTTTATTGAACAACAACTACAACACTCCGAAAACACCGCCACGATCCGGCGAATCAAGTGGCTTTGGTGTCTCGACCCAGAGTGCCAGAAATGGAAAGACAGGGTGCCCAAGGGACAGCCCCACCAATTTCACTAGAAAATGAAGGTTCTAGGGTTTTAGGTGGTGCCTCCTCATTTTCTAGCGGCTTTGGTGCCTCGACCAAGAGTGCCAGAAATGAAAAGATAGAGATGAGAAAAGGCTTTAAAGACCAGGTTTCCCAACCACGGCCGCACTGAGGCTACCAACCATGACCAGTGTTGGGTCTTAACCCCGGCTACGCCCGCCCCACGGCCACTATTGTGTTTGCGGCCGCTCTCTGCAGCTCTGATCCAGGTTTGCCAGCACCGCCATCCGCCATCCTGCCGGTTCGAGAAAAAACGTTGTAATTGTAAGTCTGTTGAAAAAGCCGGCTCCTTTGTCAAGCACTAAACTGTTTATTGTAAAAACATTGGGACATCCCTGCAACTTTGGCGGTAGATGTCCCATGTAAATTCCGGCGCAAGACAAGAAACCCATGGAGTTGGGGAATTGGATGACTCAGCTGTCCTCGTCATCCGCCAAGTCTACGGCCGCATCCAATCCTTCGCCTGCCAATGGGCCGATCGAAACCCTCAAAATTAGCACCCTCTTGAACAACATCACCCAAAGCTGCTCAGCAATTTCTTCACCCGCTGGCCTTCAATCGCTGTCAAAGGCTTTGCGCCCCCGCGGCGCATCGGGCCCGACAGGCTCCCATCCAGCGAATCAAACGTCCGTTGGTCTCAACTTCTTCAAAACACGGATGTCTCGAGGGTAAAGTTCGCACTTCTTTGCATGTGTGGCGACTATGTATGCCTCGCGCATTGCCTGCTCCACGGCTGCTTCTGCGGCCTGTTGCAGACAATCGATTGCTTCGTCGCCTACGCAAAAGCCATCAGGAAGAAGTTCTTTACACACACGGGTGAAGGGGGTCTTAAGAAATACCCGCTGCTTTTCTATGCTTTTCTTCACAAAAGCCCGCCGCTTCGCACGGCGTCTCTGCTTTTTGTCTAGGCTGTCAGAGAGCACATCCTCATGGGCCTGCTGGGCAGCTTTGGCTGCAGCAGCAGACGCTGCTTGAGGGCCTCGGAGCTGATGCACTTCCCTTGCTGCTAGTTGCAAATCCCATGGGCTCATCATCGGTAAGTGCATCAGGCGTGTGTACCTGCACAAGGCATGCGGCAACTGCAATGAACAGTGAGAATCACTTGACGAAAATCCTGCAAAGGTGAGAAGGTCGAAAAAGATGCACTTTCAGAAGTCGTAAAAGCACATCATCAGATAGCTACAGCCTACAGCACCTCAGGAACTCCGGGAGTGGTGAGTCCCCCGCTGCGTGAGTCAGCCAAGCAAATTTGACAAAAAGAACCTATTTTTCAAAGAGATCTGACTTAACCTCTCCAAATATCACGTCCTTTCAATCAAAGCTACAACCGTTCAAGCAGCTCTCTTCAAATCATGCACTGACAGCAACCCAGAAGCCAAAAAGGCTGCAACCAAACGAACTGGACCCAAGACCAACCACAAGTGGGGTTAGAACAAGGAAGCTGGAGTTAAGAAACGGCAGTGGCAGATAAGAACCACCCTTGATAGGGTACCCAAGGGACAGCCAGACACTATTCACTAGAAAATGAAGTTTCTATGGTTTTAGGTGGCACCTCCTC